ATTTCTGATTTGTCTGATTAATAATAATGGTTAGAAAGTTCATACATGTTCTTCAGATCAATAAATCTCTCTTCAAACTCGTGCAACGTATACGCTTCCGCGCATTTGAAAAACCTTTCTGCGACAGTTTCACCTCTTGAACTCTTTCTTCCCATACCTCTGTTAACCTTAACTTTCAGATTTTGCGCTATGTGTCTCGCACAAAATCCATGGCCAGCTTCTTTGTACACTTCTCTAACGGCCTTTATTATGCTTCTATGTCGATCAGATATCACAACGACATCAGGTCCATCTGGGATTGCATTTATTAATCTTTCCATAAACCACCTCCATGATGCATCTTTTTCTCTATCGATAATACCTCATGCCAATGGATATTGGTGGTGGTCACCATCTTGTGCGGTTGCAACAACTAATGTACCTTTGTACTGGCCTGTAAGAAAGGTTGCATCAATAGCAACCACTTTATGCATGTAATTCCATCCTTTGACCGTTGCACCCAATGTAATGAAGAGGTATTTGAAGCTTCTGTCATCTGTGTCTAACTCGAGACTTACAATTGTCCCAGGATTTCTCTTCTGCAACATGTACAACCATCCAGGAAGTTTCCTAAAATGCTCTGCAGGATCACCTCGAATCTCACTTTCAGCTTTGTGCTTCCCCCGTAATGCCGTCAAATATGTTACGGTTGTGCCATACTTTGCTTTTACACGGTCTATTATTTCATGTGCAGAAGGAGTGTTATCAAGTTTACCGGGAAATTCATCCTTCAAATAATCTCTAACCAATTTTTTTGTACCGCTCATACTTTTGCTTGATTCTGAAACGGGTTTGCAACTGTGAATGGGATTGTGTTTTCTTACACTCCAACGCTTCGAGTTTAAGATCAATGCCGTACGCAACCTCCAATTACAGCCGGATCCAGCAAATTTACATCTTAGTTCCCATAACTTCTTATCAGACCTCATCGTAGTATACCTAAAACGAGCCACAGCTGCACCCTTTCGAACATATTCTTGCGCTGCTTCCTTATCGTCAAACTCATGACCAACTGTTATATTTAATCCATCACTGAAAGTGAACACAGAATCAGAAAACAAAGAGTCCTCCACAATCTGAAGCTCCAAATCATCACCATTATCATCATCACCATTATCATCATCATCATCATCATCATCATCATCATGACAACCAACGCACTCTTTCACCATAACTTCTCTAAGTCCACTTGAATGTTCACTATCAGAAAGATGTATAACTTCTGGCACATTATTACTCCCAACTTTACTCTTAAAATTTGGGTTCAACATAAAACAATCGTCATAGTCTACAACACTTTGTTTCCCATTTCCTCCAACAACACTACCATCCGCAGGAATTATAGCCTCTTCTTCAACGTTTTCTTCAGCATCAGTTTTCATACGTAACTCTCCTATCTCCACATAAAGCATACCTCGCAATCCATTTATTTTATCCAACAAATAAATATGAACGTGCTTGTCATTCCATAAGTATGTCGGCTTTCTGTTCTCCTTGACATTTGGCAAATAACTTAACCTGATCTTCGTTTTATCTTTCTCCACCTTCATCTCAGCACATAACTCTCGAACAAGGTCACTGTAGGTTACCTCACAGGGGGGACAAAAGAACAACAATCTTTGATTTTCCATGAACTTTCCTTCCCATTCATATTCTCCGTTTTTATTCAATATCCACCTACCATCATAGAAAAAGTATACAATTGTTGATCTCTCATCTTGCCCGTCCATCGTAGCTGTAGAAAGCACAAATACAAAATACATATCAATTCAACTATTCTGGACTATGTGACCATGTGACCATATGAATATAATACAATGTGACCATGTGACCATGTGACCATTATTATCATTCTGGCTATTCTGGACCATGTGACCATGTGACATTTTGACCATGTGAATTCCTCACCCTGTAACCATTATTACCAATCCTACTATTATGAATCATGTGACCATGTGACCATGCGGCCATGGTACCATGTGACCATGTGAACATAGTCTCATGTGACCATGTTATTATAGTACCATGTGACCATGTAAACATAGTACCATGTGACCATGTGACCATAGTCCCATGTGACTATTGTAATATAGTACCATGTGACCATGTAAACATAGTACCATGTGACCATGTGAAAATAGTACCATATCATTCTTGAAACATATGCCAACCGTTATGTTAATGAGCCGTGACTAACGTCACCATGTCACTTTGTGATCTTGTGACCGTGTGGCCATCGCACCAACTCCTCTCTACTGTGACCCGACATTTGTGTTTAGTGATACTCTAGAAACAACATCTAAAGTCCATATCCGACCCGGATCTATGACTATACTATACTACAAAAGATAAAACTTCAAAACTGTCAACAATTAGAAGAAAAAAGGTAGAAGAAGCATCAATGTTCATCATATAAACATCGACAACCATCAATGTGGGTAGAAACAAATAAGATTTTCACATTTTCTTACCTGTTTTCAACTTCTTCAACAATTTTCCACTGATTTTGCTTTGATTTCTACCGATTTTGGAGAAAAAATCGCAAGATTGAGATGAGAGAGAAAGTGTAGGAGAGAGAGAGCTCAATGTCGATGAGGGAGAGAGAGACAGGAGAGAGATACCGGAAAGAGAGAGGAGAGAGACCCCGTTTACCCTAATTTTTGGAGATATTTTTTAATAAAAAATTAAATATAAAAGGGTGTTTTGGTCATTATTTATAGAAGAGGGTATATTAGATGTTGGAATTTTTTTTTTATAAGGAGAAGGTATGAGTGGAAGTTGATGTAGCACATTGAGTGTAAAACGGAAGTTGCCCCTATTTAACTATGTTTATCCGTTATATGAAATATGTTAAAATTTTAATATTTTAGTATGAAAGTTTTATTATAATTTATATTAGTTTTATCATTTATGTGAATTGAAAAATTCCGGACGTTTACTGTATGCCATATATGCAATGAAGAAGGTATGAGTGGAAGTTGATGTAGCACATTGAGTGTAAAACGGAAGTTGCCCCTATTTAACTATGTTTATCCGTTATATGAAATATGTTAAAATTTTAATATTTTAGTATGAAAGTTTTATTATAATTTATATTAGTTTTATCATTTATGTGAATTGAAAAATTCCGGACGTTTACTGTATGCCATATATGCAATGATGAGCATGATGTTTCTTTTATATTGTTAATTTCTATCTTTTTATTTTGTTATATTATTCATCTTGTGATAATTAAAAGACAAGATATCAATGTCTTATAGGAAGTAAAGAAAGAAGGTAATTTAATTATTAATTAAAAACCTTTTAAATTTTATAATCTAAAATTAATACTCTACAAATAAATTTTATAAAATCTGTTGTGTATACACTTAATCAAAAATACATTATATGAATCTATTTGTAAACTCTTCATTTCTAAGCATTAGTTTTATATATTTTGTCTATTAAAGAAATTGATCATAAAAATACCTTACATGGGTCATAAATTACAAATAAAAATAAACATAGATATAAGTATGTATGTTATATACGGGGATATAGCTGAAATATCCTCCAAAGGCTACATCTACTTCTTATCCTACCCTCCAAACAAAAAATAAAAAAAAAAGAACAAAAAATACTACAAAAGACACAAAACCCCTCATAATATATTAAAAGGACCAAAAAACCTTGTCATAGATTAAAAAGTCAAAATAAAAATAAAAAAATTTAAAGGAGAGAAATTACTCTCTTTCTCTCTCCTCTAGGTCACGTCTAACTCTCTCTCCCCTCTCTCTTTAATCGCCATTTTTTTTCTCTTTGCAGAATCGACGACTCTCCTCTTTCTCGTCGATTTGTGCCATAATTTTCGTTTTCTCTCACAAATTTTATTTACCCACCAAAATATGAGAAGATTAGAAGAAGAATTAACGACGATAGTGCATAACATGGATTCGAGTTCGTCTTCGTCACAGTCTTCGAGCGAGAATGAGAACCTGATGGAGATTGCATAGTTAGAACAACACATGGTAGGTTAAATTTTGATCTGTTTGCACATTTGTTTGATTTTGAGATTTCTTATTATTTGGTTTGAGTATGGGTTGAAGATTTGAACTCGAGAGCATTAGGGTTTTGGGTACTTTTGAAAATTTGGGGATTTCAAAATAAAATATTGGGTTTGATGGTTTAAGGTTAAAATCGAGTGAAATGAGTGAGTTTCGGTCACAAAGTTATTTAGTATTGTCATATAGGTAACAATATCACATGAGTCGATGTTTGGTTGTATGGGTGACATGACGATTCGAATGACATGGTCACACAGACACGTTCATAAAAGTCACAAGGTCGTACAGGTAACACGATTGTATGGTCACAAGGTCACATGTGAGATGGTCATTTTGGTGACACGGTTGTGTAGTTACAAGGTTAGAAGGTCACATGGTCACGGGTCACATGATTATATGGATCACATATATTATAAGTTTACATGGTTACTTGCTCATATTTTTCTAAGTTCATAGGGTTACATAATCACATGGTCACATGGTCATATGGTCACAAGGTCACATGGTCACATGATCACATGATCACATGGTCAAATGGTCACATGGTCACATGGTCACATGGTCACAAGGTCACAAAGTCACATGATCACACAGTCACAAGGTCCCGTTGGAATACAATTAAGGTGGATTTCAATTAGACTCCAGATTTATGACTGCTCAAACCGATTAAGGAAAAAATATGGACAAGGTAGTTCAGAAGCTCAGTCATCTTATTCCAAAAACTTGTCTCATCGTTGGGTCAGAAAGTTTCTATGATGGCGATGTACTCGATATTGAGTATGTGGATGGATTACCTCAGAATGCTAATGGCTGTGAGTGCAGTATTTTTGCGGTAAAATATGCCGATGCGATATGCTTTGGACAAGAAGGGAAATTGTGCCCGTTGATATGTGATGACAATGTCACCCAGATGCGTGAGCAGTTGACACATGTCATATTTGTCAATGGAAGTGTTCAGAAGTATAATCAATAACTTATTTATGTTATGAACTTATTTATTTTTGTTATGAACTCTAAATATGACATTTTGTTTGTTTATTATAAAACTACAAATTTTTTTGTTATGATATTATATTTTATGTTTATTTTATATCTAAATTTGTTTATAGATACTACAAAATATGGGGTGAAAAAAAATGGAAAGAAAAAATTTTGATTGAAAAAATTTTGAAGAAAAAAAAATTGGGTTGAAAATATTGGGGTCAGAAAAAGCTTAAAAATTAAAATTTGGCCTATATTTATCAACACATTTCGGTCACAGGTCACAGTCGGTCACAATGGTCACATAGTGTAAAATTTCATTTCGGAATCGACGAATATTACGATGAAGATATTGGAGTTTTTGAGTTAAGACAGAGAGATGTGACTCCACAATGGTCACATAGTGTAAAATTTCATTTCGGAATCGACGAATATTACGATGAAGATATTGGAGTTTTTGAGTTAAGACAGAGAGATGTGACTCCATTGGGGTCAGAAAAAGAGAAGACACAGACACATGAGACATTGGTGATGGAAAAAGAACCATCTCGTAAGGAGATAGAGCCAACACCTAAGGAGAAAGAGCCATCGCGTAAGGAGAAAGAGTTTTCTTCCATGGACCAAATGGTGGCTAACATCATCGTACAAGTAGGAAGTAAGTATGTGAACTTTGTCATTTGGTCACGTGAGACCATGTTCATATGGCCACATGGTACCATGTGAATATGGTCACATGGTACCATGTGAATATGGTCACATGTTTTAATCTGATTGTATACTTTGTTTTTCGTTCAGGACATGACCTCGAAGAAGATGCTGAAGAAGATGACAGTGACTATGATGGGGATGAGGCAGCTCAAGATGATGTTGGCATTGAGGATGAGAATACAAAAGAAGAAGATGTTGGCACTGAGGTAGAGAATACAGAAGAAGAACATGACGCTGATGGTGATGGGAGTGAAAGCGATGGCGATGAGGATAAGGCAGGCGAAGAAGCTGAGGAAGAGGATGAGACAGCCGCAAAATCTTCTGACAAAGGATTTGTCCCCCTATTGAAGATGAAGTCACTCAACCTCCAGCAGAAATTCCTAAAACTGTTGTAGCTGGCTCCTCTGATGCAGAGTTGAGGAAAAGAAGCAAAAGGAAAATTGCTGATGGGTCATCCAAAAGAAACCCTTATGTAGAATCAATAACTGGTCTACCGCCCAAAAGAACTCGGTCTCAGGCTGCAGGAGGTCGAGAGAGAGGCAAAGCCAGAGCCAGAGGTAGAGGCAGGGGCAGGGTGCAGAGGCAGAGGGCGAAGCAATAGAAGCTAGAAGGATGTTGGTGAGGAAGACGAGGTTGAGGAAGAATCTTCTGACGAAGGCGTTGCTGAGGAAGACGTTGAGATTGCAGAAAAGGAATTTGTTTGGAAACCAGAGCGTCTCAACCCGAGTGGAAATATTGGAGGGAATCAAATTTGCCTTATTAAAAAAAATACTACTCTCATTTGCATGGGTCCCATCAAAATCAAGGGTTGAATTGTCAACTGCAACTTTTTTGCATAGCTGGATGACACTGGACCCCATCCAAAACAATGCATGCCAAACCTGGGTCCCACAAATTTTCGGTCACATTGGGTCACAGTTGGTCACATTGGGTCACAAGGGTCGATTTTATGGATTCTTTCAAATGAATCATTACGAATGCTTTCACATGTTCCATATTAACTCTTTTGTACCGTATTGAAGAGAAAAAACAGAATTATTCAAATTATGGGTGCAAAAGTAGTGTTCATACATGTGTCCCATAAGTGTTCATAGTGTTTTATGAATGATTTTGACAATATTGGTGCTTTTGTATTACAAACACCTTAACATATTTTGTAAATTTATGATTAACACTATATTTGTGTTCTTTATACCTTGTCACAACACAACCAAGTTTAAAAAGCATGTTTACACCTACATTTACTTTTCTCACTCTTGTGTACCGTATTGAAGAGAAAAAACAGAATTATTCAAATTATGGGTGCAAAAGTAGTGTTCATACATGTGTCACATAAGTGTTCATAGTGTTTTATGAATGATTTTGATAATATTGGTGCTTTTGTATTACAAACACCTTAACATATTTTGTAAATTTATGATTAACACTATATTTGTGTTCTTTATACCTTGTCACAACACAACCAAGTTTAAAAAGCATGTTTACACCTACATTTACTTTTCTCACTTGGTCACAGGTCACATCCGGTCACAATGGTCCCATAGTACAAAATTGGACAATGGTCACATTGGTCACATGCTGGTCACAATGGGTCACAAACAGTGGTCATATGAGATAACTTATTTATTGTATTTTAAGATGTAGAATGAGACCAAATTAAATAAATTAAAATACAACAAGGAAGCAAAGGACATGGAATACAATACACAATTATTATACAAATGGTCTCTTTATTCATACATGGTCAAGTGTTCTCTCACACATTGCTGATATTGATACTTCTGTTGTGACATGCATCCTTTTTCAGGCTTCACCAGGACCCGGAAAGCGATTTTGTTTGGGTCTCCCACTTTTCCGTTTGTCTTCCACTATAAGAGGCAAAACCACGCGGTTTGCAATATTTGGATCATCGATCCTCCATTCACAACAATCTATCGGATACACAGTTGCTTCATAAGCATGACGCCATGACTCGCGCAAATAGTATGGAGAACACAAGTCTGGTATCTTATTTGCTTTCACAACCTTATGAGGTGCTGCGATTGCGTGACTACATGGGATCTTATCAATATCACACTCTGTCACTATAACTTTTCTAAGTCCACTTGAATGTTCACTGACGGAAAGATTTATAATTTCTGTTACATTATTACTCCCAACTTTACTCTTAAAATTTGGGCTCAACAATAAACAATCGTCATAATCTTCCACACCTCGTTTTCCATTTCCTCCAACAACACTACCATCAGCAGGACTTATAGCTTCTGCTTCAACGTTATGTTCA